TTGTGGTTGTGGTTGTGGTTGTTGTCCTCGTCAAGCGAGGAAAAGTTTCACACCAACCAGAGACGTCCCCCGCTGCTAGTGAATGAATGTTGTTCTTATTGGAAGTGTTATGTTTATTCTGTTGTTGTTATTCTTAGGTTTTTTGGTTGTTGTTGCTGTTGATGTTATTACCATTACTGCTAATGTTCTTTGACCGTTGCTGTTACCAGTACCATGAACTGCCACTGCAACTGTTGCTAATGCGCTGTTGCTGTTTCTGTTGCTGATATGGCTCGGGTGGCGGTTGCGGTCACGTACTGTTCCTACAGTTATCATTGCTATGGTTGTTACTATGTTTTATGGTTTCTGCGAATGACCGGCTCACCAGTGTCGCCGAACGGGAGTTTTTCAAGCGGCATTCTAGGAAGTTTTGGAGTGTCGTTCTGGTTCCCCATCGACCGTGGCCCCTGCAAACGAGACAGGAAGCCAACGACACAACAGCGAAGTCTGGGCCGCCGGGCGGAAGCAAGTGCGGGCAGTGAGGAAAAGCTAGGCAAAGGTTCTGACGGGATGTCCCAGGCCTGTGCAGACACGGCATTTGTTTGTACCGAGCTTGCAGGTTTTCACCCTACTAGTAGCTTGAGTCAGCTGAGAGTTTTCTGGCATCGTGGCAACTACAGCCTAAAACACAGGAGCATCTTCTGCAACAAGTTCAAGCTGGCCATGCAATGGCATGCGGCCGCAACACCACAACCTACACCATGTGCTACTAGTAGTTTCTTGGGAAATGTGCTATCTGGTTGGGAACAGTACGGTACAGTAGCACCATCGAAAGCTGACGGTGGAGACAGGGGAGACGAAACATCCGAAGCATCTGGGTGCCCGCACCCGAGGTCTTTGCCTTCCGCACTGCTTCCCGGCTTGAGCATAAAGGCGCGCCAGACAAACATTTCAATGTGGCCTGATAGCAAACTGCGTTGCTGTAGTGGGGCGAGGGGCAAACACGTCACTGCTTGCATGTTTCTGGCATCTCTTGCCCGTGGGGCTTGATCGGCGTTGCCATGGATTGAATCTGCCAAGAAACGGATCGACACCATATACGGCATTCTACGGAGGTTCTTCCAGAGACTAACTATGTCGTTCTCATCTTCGCAGGCTTGACACCGCATGTTTGTTCGGCCGTCTGCTTTCGGCCTCATTGCTCAGTATTCCGATCAAGGACTCCCGGAAGCTCCCAAGCTCTGTTTTTGTCATGGCTGAGTGCCAGCATCCAGTCGTCGAGGTGGGAGCCTCCACACCTCGCTTGCAGGCTTCAGTCGGTTTAATGTATATACTAGTATACTTCGAGGCATCGGGGTCCAAATCAAGAATCATAGGTCAAGGGACTCAGGTTATGCAGACGGTTCAGGGCTCTGGGCCTGAGAGCATTGGGCTTTTATTCTAATTTGCGGCTTGCGCGTCGGCAGGCTATTGCGCATGTGTTCCATTGTAGTTTCGAGCTCCATCTCTTCCTCCTTGAAGGCTTGTGGCTTCAAACGCTTCCGAGAAAACCCCGCGGCTCCAAGCTGTTGCGGCACCATCAGGCAGACGGCCAACTTCCGCTGAGGGCTTTTGGCAGCTGAGAGCCCCGACGCCGTCACTGTACAAGCACGGCATTGTTGATAAAATCCTGCTGATGCGAGTTCCATGTGTTTCAGGATGGCTCCAAGCAGAGGCCAAGAGCTACACTGCCGGCTGCTGGGAGGGGGTTGCGCTAGGAATGTGCACGGGGTGCAAGATTCAAGTAGCAATGCTGCTGGTTCGGAGGCTCCTGCACTCACCGCGCATGTGATCCACGGATAAGGGAAGACAAGCCTCCAAATCCCCGAACTTCGCAATCCTTGAACCAAATGCAAGCCGCTAAACCCGCCGTGCAGGTGCCTGTTAAAATCCCGGACAGCGCTGGCCGGGTGATCCTGCGACGGCAGATGTGACATGAAAGCGCACGGCCGTCGTACAACAGCTTTGCATAGCTTCGCTTTACAGCCCTGGAAGTCCAGCCAAGCCTAGCTCGTGAAAATATGTTGTCCAAGAATCTGCACTTCCCGGATGCTGGAAAGAAGCAACAAACGGAATGCGCTTCATTGCTTGTTTGATCGAAACTGAGACATAGATACTTATTGACCCAGGCTCCAGAACATAATGCCTGGTCTATACCGTGCTGGGGACTGTGTGCCAGCCTGAAGGGATTTAGCGCAACGGCGAAGCGGTGTAGTTGGCCCAGTCGCCCCAAGCGCTGCCAGTGAGGCCATCCTATGCGCAATCGCCACGTACGAGTAACATGCTTGCGAGCTCAGACCTACTTCGCCGCATAAACTTCGTTGCTAAGCAAATCCATGCTAAGCACAACTGACCATGCACACACACACACACACACACACACACACACACGCACCCTCCCCGACCTGAAAGAACATGCCGATGATGGCCATCATCGCAAGCCT